AGTGGAATGCATCCGAGCCTTTGTGAGACAAAACACATCATCCGGATCTGGCCTGGGAGCTCCCCTTCTTACCAGAATCCTTGCCTGGTCTCTTAGAGATAGGTCTGAACGCACTTTGAAGGTGAAAGAGTGAGCTGCGGGGCCATCCCGTGTTGGCAGAAAAGTGCCACTCAAGTGTACGCCGAGACCACCAAGCCAAGAGTCAAAGTCGCGTATGTGGTGAACCTGTTCTACAAAGAGCTCTTCATTTCTGGCACGGATCATGGGACCCAACTCAGATTGCAGAAGGTTCATGAACTGCCCAGGTGTTTGCCACTTGAAAGGTCTCAAGACTTTTGTCAGGACGCAGCTGAACAACCGATCGATGTCCTCTTTGGTGTGGCCTCGTCCGAGGAAGTTGCATGTTGTCGTCATGAACCGGGCGGACCCAGTCAAATATGATGCCAACAACATCGATGTGCTGTTCTTCGTCTGTGCTGTCGTGTTGTCGCTCTGAATGCACAGGTGCTCTGGTAGCACCGTGCCACGCCTTCTGGCCACCTCTCTGGCACAGTCGATTGCCCGCAGGATGACCTCGCAACTAAAAGATGCGCCGTGTGGATAGTGTAAATATTGCAAAAAAAGGCAAGTGCAGAAGCCATGCACTATGACTCCAGTCAGCACCAGGCCTGGACGGTGGAAACCGTCGAGGCTGGGTGGCACTTTCCCACTGACGAAGTCGTAACGTGGAAAAACTATTTTCGAGCGGTCGACCACCAGGGACAAAACTCCTGCACCTTGCCTGGCTGAGAGTCTTATCCCCCAATACAAGAGGCGATCTGCATATTGAGCCCGCAAGTGTTGCTGCCATTCTTTCGCCTTTTGAAGCTTCGTCTCCTGAGGCGTACTTCGCGAATGTAGCAACTCCCGAAACTCAAAGCATTCCTGGCAGTCGACATGCTGTGATTTTTTTCGAAAAGCAAGGCAACCACTCCATCTCTCTGACCAGCTCCGGTAAAATGTGCTCCACGATGGTGCCTTCTCAGGCTTGTCAGCACTCAGCCCATCTAAAGCTTGGCACCAAGCCTGGAATTGCCAGTGCAGGTGCACCGGGCTGCCGGGTGGAAGCATCCGTTTCGGCGTGCTTGCATCGGTGCAACCTGGCGCTGAGAACGCTTCCAACAAACAGCTCTCAGGCGCCCATGCAAAGGTGCTAGCTTCTGCGTCGGTAAGCAAACTCTTCGTAGTTGGATTGTCATCCAAGTTCTCAGTTGCATGCTTCTCTGGCAAATGCTCGGCAGTGCTGTGGTACAGCTCAGCAAAGAAAACATCTAAGAGGTTTCGCTTGACAGGGACACGTGTCGGCGTTCCCCGATCCCGTCGCAAATCTGGCATACCCTGTAATCGCCTTTGTAGAGTTTTAACAGATGAACCAAGCAGGGACGCAGCTGCTTTGCAGCAAACTGGGCGGCCCAACACATGCCAGTTCGTCCTGTGCGTCGACGTCTCTCGCAAATCTTGTGCCCCTGAAGATTGGCTCTCTGCATATTGGCACTGCACATATTGCTCCTGTGAGTCATTCCCCAGTGAATGCCACAACTCCCGTAATTTGGCTACCTCGTCAAGCCGGAACTGCTTGAAGCACTCAGCCTTGCAACTGCATGTCTCCTTGGCTAAGAGGGTCTTTATACGGTCCTTGTCCACAGCTCTGGTCGCATAAACACTTGGGTCCTTCTGAGACTCTCGTGGTTTCAAAAAACTCATGGTCGCGAGATCAAAAGATATGACATGTTTCGCATGCTTTGGCAAATCCGAAATGGACCGACTTTGTGAGTCGGCAGCTGTGTCCTCACCGGGGGTCATGATCTGCCAGCTGTCCTTTCTGCATTCTGCCTCCGGAAAATCATCTTGGAGAGACATGATCTTCCAAGACGACCCAGGGACCTCGTCCTGCCCACGCGAGATGTCTGAATCTGAAACGCACATTCTTTTCCATTCCTGGTCCTCTGCTGAAACCTCCCCTGGGTTCTGACGCTTCCAGGACATGGTGCCGAAACAGCTGCTTCACAGAAGAAGGGTCAGGACACACTTCTGAATGGCAGCTGGGGTTGCAACTACCACGGGAGCTCAAACCTGCAGCTGATGCCCTGCAAGCGCGGGCCTGCCGTGAGATCGAGGACCTTTGCAAGAAACAGAAGCACAGCTGCACAGTGCGGTCACAGATGCTCAGGCAGACTGACACACGCTGATGCACTTGTTTTTACCTGCAAAAATACAATGCCCTTTCTGCAGAGCACTGCCGCACCCTGGCGGGGGAAGTCACAGGAGCATCTTCTTCCAATCCGTATCCAAGCTACCCTGCTCATCTGGATCGTCTGCTCCTAAGTCCATCTGCTTCCAGTCCGATACACGGACCTGCTTGGAGGCAGGCTCGTCCTCCTGATGCGATCCTGTTTCCATTTGCTTCCAGCTCTCCGAAGTGGATGCTTTCCTGGCCTCTGGCTTCGGTTTCTGCCGCGAGGACTTGGCCTTTGCATTGGCACCTTTCCTCTTGACGGTGACTTTGCCCTTTGGACGAGGAGTCTTCGACTTCTTCTCAACGACCTCCCCGTCAGGCTGATCTCGGTTGGCGAGCCATACATCCACGATGAAGCGGCCCAAGCGGGGTGGATATCGCCCACTCAGGACGAGTAGAGCCTTTTTACCGGTTTTCTTTGTCTTCTTGCTTTTCTTGCAAAATCGCACACTCACCAGTTCCTTATGCTTCCCGTGCGGGCAGTAGCACGTCCGGTGAAGGTTCTGGATCCATGCCTGCCCCACAAATTTGTATCTTTTGAAGATGCGGTCGCCCCACTCTGAGTCGTCGAAAGAGCACCTTGTGCAAGTGGTGGATGTTAGATTCAGCTTCTCGAACACATGGGCTATCGTAGGGAGTCTGAACATTTGGCTTTGCGCCGGTTGTTCGACCACGGGCAGCACGTCGCGAAGCAGGCACAAACAGACCATGAAAATCATAGCCATGGCTTGTAAGTTTGCATTGCGCACAGGTGCATAATCCTCATTTCCCAGGGGATTTTGTTTGGTTCGCTTCGAGTGGTGGCGATCCAACCAAGTGAATGTCCCACAGGGCGGAGCGAACCAAGCCAAGCTGCCTGGCTTCAGAGCCATCACGCGCGTAAGCGCAAGCCGAAACCCCGATTCGAACGTCAAGTCCTCGGCCGGATCTGCTCCTGGTCTGTACTTGTCGTAGACCGTTGCCACAAGGTTGGAGTCCTCTGCCGCTTTGGCGATGCTGCCCTGGCCACTCCAACACTCAAAAACATCTGCTGTGCGAGGAATATTCTCATACTCCAGCAGAGCAGAGCGCAAAGTGAAGCCGAAAACCGTCAGCGCGGCGAATGGTGCCACGGACAGATTCGGCTTCGTCATTGTGACAAGGACGTGTTCAAAACTTGCTGGTCTGCTATAGCTGCTAGCTACTGGACTCGATTATCCATTGTGCAAGTCAGGCCAAGGCTGGCTACATCTCAAAACGAGCAGTCTGCTTTCACAGGATTGAGAGCTCTGGCTGCAGATCAAAGGCTACGTTGCAACAGGTCTTCAAAATCCAAGTGTCTCAATCTTGTCACAGCATCCGCTCCCAAGCATGCCCACTGCAAGCGCAAACGTTCTCTGACATGACACTTCGTCTCTCAGGCAGCTGATGCAAGCTCCAAACAAACGTACTCTGGACTCTAGACACTGCAGTGCTTTCCTGAGAGCTTGGCTTCCCAGTCCATGCGCTGGCCTCGGCAGAAACTGTCTCCAGCGTGAAAAGCAAGTAAGTTGGCATGAGGCATGAGCACGACATGCTCAGATTGACAGACTTCCTCTAAATCTATCACCTCTGTAATGTCGCAAGGGCCAGCATCCTCATTTTCTGCTGCCCCAAAGTCAGAGTTAACAGCCCCATCTCATTCTGAGACTCAGCTTTGATGTTGCTTCTGGTGTGCTTTCACAACAAAGCTGAACAAGAACCCCAACTCCCCTAGGCCCTAGATGCTACTCAGCCGCTGCCGGGTCATTGCCCCAGCTCGTGCCACTATGTCTTCTGGATCCGATGCCGGGCCTGCTTTTGGATTCGCCAACAGGAACTCCTTCTCCTTCCTGACCAAGTCCTGAACCAACTTCCAGAAATCAGCCTGTTGAAGCTGTTTGTCTGGAAACTCCGACCGCAAAAGCCAGTAGGTGTCCTTGATGCTATGGAAGAGTCGAGCCTTCACGCCGTGCTTGGGTGAGTGCCGTCCAGCAAAAGACTCCCCGGTGCCCCTGCGTGCACGCAGGGTCTTGTCTTTGCCTCTGGGCTTCCTGTTGCTGCTCTTTTTCCCCTTCTGGTTGGCCTGAGATTGCGGGCTGTCCACAGGCAGCTGGGCACCTGGACCCTTCTGCGGTGTGTGAAACTCCTCAGAAACACTGTCTTCGTTGTCAACGCTGTCATCAACCAGGCCAGTCAGAAAGAAAGCAGCCATTGCCGAACACAGGTGAGGACCAAAGAGCCCGGAAAATTTGCAGCGGCTTCCCAGCTGCCTCTGAGCATTGAGACATGCAGACAAACACAAACGTCTGACGGAAAACTGTGCAATGCAATGCCTGAAACTTCTAAGGAAGCACGGGTTGACGGCAGCACAGCACATCCACACTTTTGACTGCCCATGTGGGCCATCTCTGAAATGCTTCGTGGAGGAAAAGAATCGGGCGGCCTCTCACACACAGAGGAGCCGAAGCACAAGACATGAGCACTCGAGCAGGTGACGACGCCCCGAGAGAGTGTCGGAACACCTACAGATTACAGCACACGTTGATTCCTGGCTGTCCCTGCTGTCGGTACTCGCTGGCATGGGCACACAATGCCCCAAGTCTGCGGTGCTGCTGCAGCTCTGTCCATTCTTCAGGTCTATACTGTTGCTAGCTGCTAGTCCTGCTTATACATCTCTTGGGAAGCTGACAAAACTGAGCACTGCAGTCCAAAATCCCGGCATAACTCAGGCGATGCGATAGACTTTCTCTTTCGAGAAGCGATAGGTCTTCTTCAGATGGTAAGCCGGTTTGGCTGGAAAAAGACCGGACCTCTGTGGCGAGTCCTCGTACTTCAAATGGCATTTCAGCTCCAAGAAGCCAAACTTGTGACTGCCAGTGCTCCAGTCTGTGTCGGCAAACGGAAGCAAGCTTCCGATGTTCTCCTTGCTCTCGACTGTCTTCGCTGGCAAGGGCTTCGGCTGGTACGCACAGGCTTCTGTCGACTTAATAACCCCGTCCTTCACCTCGTGGCACACAATCTTCGGCACGCCCTTGTTCTTCGTGACCAGGAAGTCGAAGAACTTCTGCAGTGTGGTGAGATTGCACTTGAACCCATCCTCGAAGGGGGAGGCAATGCTGAGGCAGTAGTCCATGCTCTCCATCTTCCAGGGCCACAGGACTTTCTTGCTTTTCTCCAGCTCTGCGAGTTCTTTTCCTGTCACGTAGTCGCCATAGACATGGAAGATGGGCTCCTCCTTGCTGACGGTGCCGTCGGAGAGGCTCTTCAAGTACACCTGCTTGGTCCCGTCGACTGTCTTCAGGAGGAGCTGCACTGAGCTGACTCTGGATTGAACAGTCACCAAAGGGGAGCCCTTCGTTTTCAAGGACTCCTCAGTCACAGCGTGCTCCTCTGGAAACGGCTCCGCCTGAGTCTCATCTGCCGAGGACCTGGCGGGAGGAGCATGGTCTCCTCGCCAAGGAACGCCGGAAACATTGTAGGTCTTGTTGTGCTCATTGATGATTTTCGTGAACTCGTCCGCAAGCCGTGTGGAGCACCGCTCTTTCTCTGAAAGAACGTCCTGTCGGAGTGGCAAAGAAAGCACGCCGTCCGAGGGCACCATTTTCGTGAGCACCAGGTCCTGGCTGTTGAAGACAGGCGGCGATCCGTCCGGTGCATACTCACGCCACTCTCTGGCACGCACCGCAGCCGTCAGAAACCTCAGGCCGAAGTCCTGCTGCCACAATGCCATCTCAGACAGGGTCAGCGGGCTATTCTCAAAGCAATAGGCCGAGCACCTGGATTCATGGACTCACACTTCGATCTGTGGGTCTTTGGGGGGTTGTCGGCATTTTGTTCCGCTTCAGCTAACTTTCTCCACCGTTGCACTCAGGGGGATCGATTTTGGACAAGCCACCAGCTTGTCCAAAATTATCACTTATTAGACGCAGTCCTACTTCACAACTCGCCAACTTGGGAAACCAATGCCACGTGAGCAAAGGCACAAGAACTGAGAAACATTGGCAATGTGCTCACACGCAGACATGGCTGCCAGGAGACCGCCGTCGTAAGGGCACAAGTCCAACCACCCGGCAACTGCCGACGCTCCCAGCGGGACTCCTTTCCAGAGCTGGTCCATGATGCCGCTCATCCTCAGACAACCATTCTCACAGCAGAGGCTCGTTTTGTTATTACGTTTGGTAATCTCGTATACAAAGCACGACTCTTCTAGAAACAACTGAGGCACAGTGCTGGCCCGGCAATATGCTGCTTGAACTGCTGCGCCTTCGAGAAAGACGTGATTCCGCCCACTTTCATGGATGCCATACTGGGAATCACGAAGTCTGCGACGGCCTTGGTCGTAACGTTGTTTATAAGTCGGCCATTCCACAGAGCACTCGAGGCGAAACAGCTGATCGGTTCATCTGTCTCGGCACTCTTTGTAACTTCAGAGATCACCATCCAGAGAACGTGCGACAGCGATCTCTTGCCAAGCGGCCCAGCAAAAGCGATGGCACATCGCCTGACTCGCACCTGGTTGCTTGAGTCTCGCAGAAGCTCGTCCACCTGGTCCTGGGCCTTCTGAATTGCATTATCCTCGTACTGGCCGGTGCCTGGCACTCCGACATTTGGTGCCAGCACCAGCCCCACACTCCTGTTCGCTGCAATGTGCAATGCCGACGTGCAACCCTGACCAAAAAAAAGAACACTGCAGAATCGGTCCTGGAAGGATTGGCCGCAATTCCGTCGACGATGATCCTCGCCATCCCATGCACATGGGCATTGAAGTTGGAGCCGAAGTGGGTCAGGTTGCAGAAGAATATGTGGTAGGCATTGTCTGCGTTCAAGGCCAAGGTGTCAGACAGACCGGCAATGCAAGTGCCGAACCAGGGGTAGACGTGGCATTCTTGGACAACCTTCATGGGATACCGGCTCTCGAGACGTGCTTCTGCAAGACTTGTCATCTTCTGCTCCTGCATGGCGACATGGCTTTGCCGGCCGTTCTTTTGCAGCGACTCGTAGTCGTTCACAGCCTTCTTGTGCGCAAGAAAGAGCTGCTGCTCTCTCTGCAAGCGTGCCGTGAACAATCCAAACTGTGCTGTTTCACTTGACATCTCTGCCTGCGCGATGCTTTGCTCGAGCTTCTGTGTGTCCGAGACCTGGCCGGTCACGGACTGGAGAAAACTGAAGGAGTTGGCCTTGAGCTCGGCGTCCTGAACCTTCAGGGCGTCCCCAAGCTCCCTGTCGAGGGCGCCTCTCAAAAACATCTTGTCCACCACGGCAAGCTGCTTGCCATCCAACATCTTGGCCCATTCCTGGCGGAACTCGACGAAGACACAGGAGAGCTTCAAGCCAAGGACTGGATCCTGAATTCGGAACTTGGAAGATTGCACTTTGAGGTTGACTTTCTTTTTCAAGTGCCGGCTGTTGTCCTTCAGGTTCTTGTGAAAGATGCCGATGGCATAGGTCAGAGCCATTTCGTTCTTGAAGGCGCTTCCACAAAAGATCCTGGCCCAAAGCTCAGACCGAGCTTCTGCCACCTTGTCGCCTGGTCCGGAGAAAAGCAGGGTGAAAAATTTCATCGGCACGGCCGATTCCGCGACTTTGTAGTTCTGCCAATGCTGTTCCAGCTTCCGGCCGAACTCGCTTGTTTGTTCGGGGAGAAAGGTAACAACCTTGCTTTCCAGGTCGCTGATTCGCTGGCCGGCCACGCTGGATGAACGATTGAACTCTGCAATCGCCTGCTTGAGCTCCTGCTGGGTCGGCTGCGCAACGATACCCGAGAGCACGTGGTACAGCTGCAGGACATCGGGCCGCACGGATTCGCTCACTTGGAACTTGTTCCTCATGGATGCATAGCCAATATCTTTGCCGCCGGCAGGCCCCATGACAACAGCATGAATCTCAAAGCAAGACTGAAGCAGGGAGCCGAGCTCTCCCATTTCCTCATCTGTCAGGGTCGGCTCCAGGATACAGGCTTCCATGACCAGCATCTTTGCTGCAAGCGAGCGCCCGAAGCCGACGATGTGTTTGGTGCAGAAGGGGGTCAGCTTCGTCCCCGGAGGATCTGCAAAGAAGACGCTGAGTGGCAAGCGCATGGAGTCGAAGCGGCGGGTGTCCATATAGGAAAACGCGACCTCCAAAACGTTGACCATCTTGGACTTTCCGCGCACAGAGTCTGATTCCTGGAAACCCAGGTCAAGACAGCTGAGGACCACCGGCGCACCCGTGCTTGCACCGTGCGGCACAGCTGGCACTGCCTGACACTTCACTGGATGCCAGGCTTGGTCCATGTCTTTCAGTCGCTGCTCGAGGGCTGTGAAAGCAGCAGCGATCTCCGTTGCACCACCGGGCTTCCAAGTGTTCAACACATCGGCGACGTCCGGGACAGTGCAGTCCTCGTCACTCCCCCACGGAGTGTAGCGTGTGATGACAGCCGTGCGAAGCTTCTGCATTGCAGACACTATATCTCAGCGATCTTAAGCCTGAAAATGCTCTCTCAGATGCCGCTCTCGGGCCGAAATGCTACTCAAATGCTACGGTTTGCTGATGGCACCCAGTAAGCGCAAAGGGCGACGGCTGCTGCAAATGCTGATATCGGCCCTGGCAACCAGGGCAAGCAGGGCCAGGACGCAAGACTTTAGAACGTTGTACGTGCTTTCAAAGCTTTGCTGTTGGAGTGGGGGGGCCCCCCCGATAATGAACTCAAATGCTATTATAGCAAATCTCCAGAACGTTGCGCGTACTTTTAAAGTATTGCTCAAACTTCATTACGACTCATTACCGAGGGGGCCCCCCCACCTCAACAGCAAACAAACAAAACCTTGCACGTACTTCTAAAGTCTTGCTGCTGGCCTCCGTTTTCCATAAGAAAGCCGTGGATGCACCCCATAGTTCCCGGCTTCAAAACCTTTGCTGTACAAGAACTCAGCTCGCACCTGCAGGTTCACAGCGGCTCAGCTTGGACCTCATCTCTGTGATGACATCTGCGACGACTTCACGTCCCGGCCTTGGTGTCTTTTTGCCAGAGTTCGCTCGAAGCACGGAGTCCACCTTATACCAGAAAGTCTGTTGGTGGAGCAGGCTGGATTTCGGATAGTCCTTCTTGAGTTTTGCATAGCCGTCCTTGATGCAGAAGAAAATCTCCCTGGCTTCTGCATTCTTCGGAGGTGTCCGCCCTGCGAATGTGTTCTTGGAACCCCGGGGTGCCTTTGCGAGGGCAGCCTCTTTCTCCTGCACCCCCGACAGAGGCTTCTGCGGCATATCCATCTCCGGCGTCTTGGGCTTCTCCTCCATCTCGTCCTGGATCGGTCTGATCGCCGGCATCTCCTGGGGCATCTTGCCCATCTCGTCCTGGATTGGTCTGATCTCCGGCATCTCCTGGGGCATCTTGGCCATCTCGTCCTGGATGGTGATCTCCGGCATGTCGCCGTTCTGCGCTGTGATCGCGGGCACCTCACCGTTGTCGTTGTCTGCTGTGGTCTCGGCCATGCGGACTGCACTCTCCGTGTCGCCGTTCTGCGCTGTGATCGCGGGCACCTCACCGTTGTCGTTGTCTGCTGTGGTCTCGGCCATGCGGACTGCACTCTCCGTCTTGGCAACCTTCTTCGGTTTCTCTCCCAAGTCGAACTCCCCCAGTCCGGGCATCTCATGCTGCTCCGCTTTGATCTGGTGCCTCTTGCGCTTCTCTGCGTTGATCTCGGCCATGCGGACTGCACCCTCCAAGTCGAACTCCCCCAGTCCGGGCATCTCAGCCTTAGAGTGCGCACGTGCTTCGACATCCATAAAGTCCGCCAAGCCCGGCATAGCACAGCTGGCGAGGTCAGAGCCGAAGATATCGTCTTCGTCGAGGAACAAGGACGCCATGAGCAGTAGCGATGCACGGCCGGCGGGTGGCTCAGCTTATGCAGCTGTGGTCTTGAAAAACAGCACTGCGGGCAGCAAGTAATGAAACTGAAGCGTGTCACGAGGAAGTCTCTGTCGTCTCTGTCTACTTGGTCACATGCAAGGCACACAGCTCCTGCCCATGCTGAGAACAAGCAACCTTCCCATCCTCTGCCAACAGGCAGACTGTTCTTCTTGGGCCCCACACTGAGAGTGCATGCAGACACCTGCGGCAATGGGCAGAACGGAGCAGGCCTTTTGACTATAACGCTTGGGTAGTGTTCATTCTAGCATGCGCACTAAGCTGCCGCAGTGTTTTCTGCATTGCTTTTGCACTGAAGCCCGGGATGCAGTATGCAAGCCTTCCATGACCCCACAAGCTTTACGAACACTCTGTGCCTTGTCTGCCTCTGAAACATGTCAAACGCCTAAGTACCTTCCTGTCTGCCTTCGATAAACACTGAAAGGGCAAAGAAGAGACCGATCGTAGACCCACATGCAACCCAACTCAAAATGAGGCCTATTACAGGAAACCAGGCTTTGACGTGTCAAGGATGGCTAGGCTCGCAAAGGGAAGAAGAGCAAAGAGGCATTCTCCCCAAGCACAGGAAAACCGGCATTTGCAACAGCCACAATGGAAACCAGCCAACAGCAACTGCGGTTTGCAGGTGCGCTGGCCCTCGCAGTTTGCTGGCTCACCCCTGGCTTGCTGCAGTTTGCTGGTCACAATGTGGCCCCTGTAGCTTGTCAGGAGTGGCCCCTGCGATTTGCTGGTCAAGCGTGCCCCCGCAACAGAACAAACTCCAGCAGCAAGAGCAACAAGTGCAAATGTCGAAAAGTAAACCCAAAGCCACCAACGCCGAAGACATGTCCAATGCCACCAACCCCAGAGAAAAAAACAACTGAACATTCGCGACACCCAAGCCACTCCTGTCTGTCCAAACCCAAGTCCTGTGCGGGTCTGTTGCAAGTCCCACATGCAACCCGTTGCTTTCAGTCTTTCAGCCTTGCTTTAACATGTCTCTTCTCGTTGAAAGTCCAGTTTGGTCTCAGTCATGGCTCAGGACATTTACAACTCGACGTGTGGGTGCTGCAGCTGTGTCCGAAGGAAACGCAGAAAGTATAAGGGTGCTAGCAAGTTAAAACAAAGTTTGTCATGTTGCATGGAAAATTCAAGCATCAGACTTCGCGTGCACGCACACAGAGACAGAGCACAGGTTTCTAGATTCTGGATTTTCTGCCTGATACTGCCGCCATGCCTTGCAGATCTTCTTCTGCCCATGGCCGTTAGGGCATTGCCGTGAAAGCTGCCTCGGGAAGTCGCAGCATGCCCGTGCGCAAGAGAGCAAACAAGAAGGGTCAGCAAGATGAACAACAGAAGAACGAGAAGAGTCAGCAGAGAAGCAAGCCTGGATGCAAGGCAAAACCATGGAACTTTGGCGTCAGGTTTTCGATTTCCAGAGCCCAGCATGTGTTCGTTCAAAGGAAGGATGTGCCTTTGTGGCTGGCTGCCCTGGTCTTCGTGGCCGGGCCTCTGTACGCAGTGGCTCTCTACCTTGGCATGGTCACTGGTCGCAGGGTTTCCGAGCTGCTGAGGCTTCGTGGCCGAGACTTTGTGTTGTCTGGGGGTGGCCACAGTGACTTTGCCCACATTGTCATTCAGTGTCGAGAGGATGAAAAAGACCTTCCGGGCCTTGGAAAGGTAGCAGAAGGCTTGGCCATTGCACGCATTGGTGACTGCGTGGTGGACTCTATCCGGGGTTTGTTGAAAGATGGTCTTTGTTGGGAGTGCTTGCCTGTTCTGGAGGAGCACAGAGAGAAACACAAGGCTCTCTTCGACAAGGTGAAACCGCTCTGTCGAACCACATTCCGGCCTGCCCCACTCGAAGAGGACGCACTGTGGTTCCCAGCAGCCCGCAAGTCAAAACAGCCCTGGCGGACAAGGCAAAGCATCTGGCATGGAGTGAGAGTCACCAGAGACTTCTTGTATAAAGTCACCGGACGACGCTGCTTCAATCCTGCCTTCTTGGGGGCGCATGTTCACGTGCACGGAGCCACGCGTCACACAAATGCTGCCCTGCTCATGACCAACCCCAATTCTACACAGAAGGCTCCGAGTCAAACCGCTATACTAGAGTTGCAGCAGCGAACAGATGTGGGCACCTTTGTGAAGCACTACACACATGCTGCAGAAGATGAGCTGACTGCCGCTCTGGTATTTGGCTCAATTGGGTCACCTTTCAAGGCACAGCCATCATCTGGGCAGACTGAGGGATCGACTCCACAAGTCCTGCCGGAGGTTGCGAACCGTAGCGGCCCTGGCTCTCTGGAGAAAGATTCAGCAGAAGCTTTTTCCGAGCACCACGTGTCTACATGTGCAGCAACAGAACATGACCTGGGTCTTGCGGAAGGCATAATTTCAGCTGATGTAAAAGGCCATCTGGCTGAAATGCCTGGCGGTGCTAGACTGGCTGAGCTGGAGAAACCATTTATCCAGGAACCTGCATCGAGCTCTGGAACCCTGCCATCCGAAGTCAATCTCCAAGAGAATGACCGAGTCGAAGCTGGGGCCCAGACCCCCTCAGCAAAACAGCATTGCAGCCGCAATGCCTGGCGAAAGGCCAAGCGCAGAGCCGGCTTGGCACAGCACAAGGCCAAGGAAATGGTCTGAGAAGTTTCACTGCCAAGAGATCTACCACCAGTGCAAAGAAACGCTGACGCTGAACTGTGTGCGGTTGGCATGGGTGTGGGTGTGGCTTTGGAGGTGGGTGCTGAGCAGGGCTTGCCGTTCGGGGCGCCTGATTGTTTATAATAGCCGAGGGCTTCGGGCTTAGGACTTGGGTTTTGGATTTGAAGTTTAATTAACGGTTTGGGTCAGGGGTTCTGGATTGCTCGTCGTATTTGAGGTTCTGTCCGTTTGTACCTGAGGTCTGCTGTTTTCTGATGGGTATTTTCTGGCATCTGAAAAAAACGACACCGTGTCCAAAACAAGGAAGAATAAGACAATACTACGACCCATAGTAGTGATAGTCGTAGTAGTAGTAGTAGTAGAAGTAGTGGTGGTGGTAGTAGTAGTAGGAGGAGGAGTAGTAGTAGTGGTAGGAGGAGGAGTAGTAGTAGTTGTTGTTGTTCTTGCTCTTGTACTTGCAGTAGTAGCAGTAGTAGCAGTACTAGTAGCAGTACTAGTAGTAGAAGTAGTAGTACCACCAGTGCAAAGAAACGCTGACGCTGAACTGTGTGCGGTTGGCATGGGTGTGGGTGTGGCTTTGGAGGTGGGTGCTGAGCAGGGCTTGCCGTTCGGGGCGCCTGATTGTTTATAATAGCCGAGGGCTTCGGGCTTAGGACTTGGGTTTTGGATTTGAAGTTTAATTAACGGTTTGGGTCAGGGGTTCTGGATTGCTCGTCGTATTTGAGGTTCTGTCCATTTGTACCTGAGGTCTGCTGTTTTCTGATGGGTATTTTCTGGCATCTGAAAAAAACGACACCGTGTCCAAAACAAGGAAGAATAAGACAATACTACGACCCATAGTAGTGATAGTCGTAGTAGTAGTAGTAGTAGAAGTAGTGGTGG